TGAAGTAGGAAAAACTGTAGGACGTGCTTTTTACAGCCCTTGGGTGTCATCTGGTAGAACCTCTGTCCAAATAACCACACAGTGCGTGATTCCCTAAAGCAAGAGTTGGGGAACTAGGGATCCACTGCTGTGTCTGCAAGTGTGAACTGCACCAGCAAGACGCTGTATCAACACGCTGTTTCTAGGTGGGGAAATAATTATTCCCACAAAGCCAGTCGTGGAGAGGGCACACAAATGGAGCAGCTTTTGAATGTAGCCACACCGGCTTAGGTGAGCTCTGTTCAGTGCCTGCAGCCCAGCTGGGACCTGCCTGAGTCCCAACTGCAGCCAGGAACGCAGTGAAGAGAACCCTAGTGGGGGTCTCGGAACTTCCCATCAAGGGTAATAGCCCTACCCCCACCCCCTCGGCCGTCTCCCCACTTCATGCTTTCAACTCTGAATCCACCACGCAGCTCTGGCAGTGGGGCGGTCTGGGCTTACAGATTGCGATGGAGCGCGCTCAGAAAAGGGAGGGTCGTGCTGAATTCCAAGGGTCCCAAGGCTGGAGGCCACAGGGTAAAAGGCCAAGATGTTTTTGCTCCATTCCAGACGCCAGTCCTGACCCAGCCTGCGAAATGCCAACTGGAGGCCTGAGAAGCAGCAGCAATCCGCGTGCACTCTTGTGAAATATTAGACACCACTCGCGAACTCAACCTTGAGGCCCTAATGCCCAGAGGGTACCTTCCACACCAGATGTCAAGACCAGCCAAATCCTACATCCAGGATAAGACACTTGCCTTCAATATTTTGCCCATTTTAGAGTTCTAAGTTCATTTTTGCTCTCGCCCTTTCATGCCTCTCTCCCCTCCGAAGATACCCAACCCTCAACCGGGCACAGGTCTGAGAATCTTTACTTGGGCAGGGAGGGCTCTGCTATGAGTTCTTGGAAATTTCCACTCACTCTGGAGGAACCTTGCTCAGGCAGAAATAATCCAGGCCTTGAGAATGCCCCATTCGGAAGAGTATGTCCAACGTGGCTTACAGGATTCCTTGAGAGGAGTGGAAATGGCTAACATTCACTTTCAGCAGGAAAAGAAGAAAAAGGAGGAAACGAAACCGCCCGTAAAGAAAGAAGTGGGAGTGGAAACAAAAAGAAGATAAAGGGGGAAAAGAAATGAGACACCAGAGCGGAGGTGAGCGCAGGGGAGCCAAGGACCGGCTCGCAGGCCAGGGAGAAGCTTCCGCACCCTGAAGCAAAGGGCCACGGGCGCGGCAAGGCTGCCGCACTAGCCTCGGTGCGCAGGCCCGCTCCCCAGGCAGGTGGGACCGGTCTAGATCCACCGGCCCCAAGGCGCTCTTTTTTGCTTTCTGGGCCCAGCTTGGCCGGGCAGCCCGAGGGTGGGGAGGCCCCTGGGGGTGTGCGCCAGTCCCAGAAGGTTGGGGCGCTCTGGGCCAGGCTTTCCAGCTCGCCGGGCCTGACCTGTCAGGCGGATTATCTTCGAGGGAGATTAATAGGGGAGGCGGGCTGCAATAATAATCGTTTTGTTTGATGTGACAACTCTGATAGGCGTTGATTTACTTACAAACTGATAGGCTTTTAATTGAGCGCCTCCGCCGAGCCCGAGATGAAAGCGAAGCAGCGGTGAAAGGCAGCCCGCCTGCCCTCCGGCCTCAATACTGATTAGCCATCTCGACAGTGAATACTTCAAGGCATTTTCAAACTTTTCTCCTCAGCCCGCTCCCCTTCCTCCTCCTCCTCCTCCCACCCGGTCCTCAAATATCTGCCAAGCCCACTCCTTTTTGAGAGAAAACAAATCATTTTCATTGTGTGCAAATAAAATCTGCAGGACATCCACGCCAACCGCCGCTGGGGTTTGGAAGCATTAGGCCTAGCGCCGAGTAATTAATAACACCCCCTCCCAGGTCCCAAGCCCCCGCAGCCGTCAGGGGTCTGGCCTTCCACAGGCAGCAGGCAGCAGGCAGCAGGCCCCAATGCTTCCCAAAAGCCAGGGTACCGCGCAGGCCCCCAGGCGCCCCCGTGCGCTCCAACCTTAAAAGTTGAGGTTGGAGTCCAGTGATCGCTCGTGGCCCGCGAACGGTGCACCACGAAGCATAGTGACCATCCACGGGCGGGTGCGGCTACCCTACCAAGGGATGCAAGAGAGGGGGTAAAACACGGTTCCCCCAGGCTTTGGGTCCTGGGCCTGCCTTCCTGGGGTAGTAAAGAAACTGCTGGAAAAAGAGGCTAGGGAACAAACTGTGCCTGGAGAGTGGGCTGCACGGTCTGGGTAGTTGTGCCCAGCCTGCGGTTACCCCTAGCCAGCTCTGGCTGCCACCCTGGCAGCATTCAGTTGGTCGGACCTCGCAGGGAGGCCACGGCAACACGCGGCAGAAGGCCGGGCTAGCAGCGCTGGACGCACTGCAGTTGGCCAGCCTCGACACCTACACAGCGGGACACAGACACGCACTAACTCCCGCGGGGAAGAGCTGCTTAGCAGTCGTACTGACCTGCCTTCAGAAACACACTGACACTCCCGCAAGTCACTCGCTCGTGGCAGCCGCACAGCCGCACTCGTGGTCCCGCACCCTCTGTCTCGCCACTCACTTTCCTGTAGTCGCATAAGATACTACAACCAGCCCCCTGGAAGGCAGATGTGTGCCTACACACACGTGTGCGGCGAGTGCACACACGTACCCACATCAGCTCACTCACACAATGGTGAACACACCGCCTTTCTCCCCTCTCCTCTCCAAATCAGCTTTGGTCAAGTTACCGTCTCATAAAGTTTACCCAGCTAAAGGATCGAGCGACAAAAACAGAAACACAGAGAAAGAATTGCCTAACGAGAAAAATTCTAAAACTCACCCCCTTAAAGTTTTCGGTACCCGCGCAGAGTGGGCGACAGAAGGGAGGGGGAGGGAGTGCGGTGGTGACAGGAACCAGCGAGCCGGCCCCAGGCAAGTCTCGGAACCACACTAGCACCCCTTTTTGCCACGGGGCGCCAGCGGAAACCTGGTCTCCAGGCCCGGCCTCTGCCCCCTACACGGGCACAGGATCCCCGCTCTCAGCGCTTCCAGCCTCACCATTTATCAAAAGGACTTGACAACAAAAGAGCCAGGGCGGAAAAGTGGGGGAAGGGAGATTCAAAGTCTTCCAAGTCGTACCGAGGAAGGGGGTGTGTCCTGCTCTCGCCCCCGCCGAGTTTCTGAGAGTTTCTGGAGGTGGGTGACCCTGGAAACGGCTCCAGAAGCTACTCACAGCGGCTCGGGCGCACGCACACACTCTGCACCCAGGTCCAGGTAGCCGGCGGCACACACGGCGCCTCCCCTCTTCTTGCCAACAGCCCGAGTGACGGTGCAAATCAAGAGGAACGCGGCGGTCCCGCTCCGCTTCCCGGCAAGAGCCGTGTTCCCACAGGCAGCCGCCCCTCCCTCTGGCTCCTTCCCTCCGCTCTCCCAACGCAGGTCAGAGCCAGCCTGGCGTTCCCACACGTTCGAGTGAGCAGCTCCGAGAAACCCGGCTGCGTGGCACAGAGAGGGCGCAGGGACGGGGCTTCAGGGGACAGGGGCCCGAAGGGGGGTGGCGTGCCTGAACCTTGAGACGACTCTCCCCCTCGCACCCACCGGCCGGGACTCTTCTCCGCAGTCCTCTCAGCCCTTGCTACTATGCCTGGGGTGGGAGGGAGGGCGAAGCATTAAAGAGGTTTTACTCTTGCAGAACCCCCAGGACGCAAGGTTCTGTGGCTGGCGTGGCTCTTGGAAGAAAATCCACGAGTGCGAAGTCGGAGCACTACGGAGCATCTGCTGGCAGGGCCACAGATGTGGCCTGACATCCCCATGCGCTCCTGAAGGGTTGGGGGCGGAGGAGGGAACGTCCCGTGTCAGACGTTCCCACTGTCCGTCCCGGGTACTCAAGCCCCCCCTCCCCCCGAACTCCCCGGCCCGAATTCACCGAAGCCCCCAGAGGTGGGCGAGCCCCAGAGGAGGCTCCCCAGTGGGGTGCCCTCCCAGCGCCTGGGCGCACCTGTGCACTCACTCCACGCTTATCCCTCATTTCCCAGACCTCAAGCACCCCTTCCCCCTCTCCTTCCTTTTTCGGCCCCCCCACTCCAATCCCCTGAAGGCGGTCCCTCTTTCTCCCCCCTCCTCCGATTCTCTGTCGGTCTTTTCCTTCCTCTCTCTTCTCTCCCTCTCTTTTTCCCTTCAAGTCGCACCCGCCTTGTAATCAGCAACAAAAGCTGACATAAATCACGGGCGGATTGACAAGAGCTGACAAATAACTGATTGATTGCGGTCGAGGCACATTGACAATTGATGGAGGGGTGGAGATACCCAAAGAACGCGCGCGGGGTGGGGAGGGAGGGTGGCAGGGGAGAGTAAGAACGGGGAGGGGGAGGGAGGGTGGAGAGACAGTGTGAAACAGAGGAAGCATGTGACCCCCGCTCCTGCCCCAATCTGCGGGTCCCTGGGCGTCACGTGGCCGGGAAGGGCGGAGTGCCGGGCGCACGTCGCCGGGACGAGCCGCCGCCGCCTCCGCTGCCCATCTAGGCTTCTGGTTTCTCCTCCACTGAGTCTCAGGAAACTCGAGCGGGCGGGCGCGCTCGCTGCCACATCGGCTGTCCATCGCTCCTTCCCCGGGTGGGCGCGTTGGGCACCAGCTCAGTTACACCGGGTGCCCGCGCCCTGGAGCGCGCAGCTTGCCGGCTGCCCACGCTGTCGCCGGAGCTCTTTCTGGATACGCCCGCGGGCTGCTCGTCCCAGCCACCTCCCTCCAAGAGAAGGTTTCGGTTTATTTCTGCGTGAACGACGGGGAGAGGAAAAAAAAAGAGAGGGAGGCGGTAGATGGCAAACGTAGAATAGATGTCCACCTCGTTCTCGGAGCGAAGCCGAGGGAGGGGACGGGCGGAGAGGGGGCGGCGAAGAGGGAGCTGCCCATTAAAACCCGCTCTGAGAGTCCTGGCGGCGGCGCGGGACGCGTCACATCCCCTTGACCCTCCAATCACCTCGGGCTCCCATTTGATTGGAAGGCGGCAAAGGCTTTAATCTCCCCCTTGGTGCAGCTGCTTTTGAAGTGTGTTTCCTCGCCAGAGCCCCGGCTGGACAGGCAGCGGCTCACATCGCGGAGCGTGGCGCCGGCGCGGGGCGGCCGGAGCGCAGCGCAGGGGCGCAGCCAGAGGCAGGCACTCCCCGCGGCCCGCTGGCTCCTGTGGCTCGGCCACCCAGGATTACTCGTTCGTGGCTGCAGGCGCCCGTGGCTGCCGCTGTTGGCTCCTACTCCTCCTCCTCCTCCTGGTGTTCCTGCTCCCCGGCAGAGCGCGCAGCCCCAAGCCCTCCCCCCGCTGCTCCCATGCGCGCGGGTGGGTCATGAGCACAGCGCCCTCGCTTTCTGCCCTAAGAAGCAGTAAGCACAGCGGCGGCAGCGGCGGCAGTGGCGGCGGCGGCGGCGCAGACCCTGCCTGGACCAGCGCGCTCTCTGGAAACAGCTCCAGCTCCAGCTCCGGCCCCGGCCCAGGCTCGGCCCCGGCCGGCAGCACCAAACCTTTTGTGCACGCCGTGCCCCCTTCTGACCCCCTGCGCCAGGCTAACCGCCTGCCCATCAAGGTGCTGAAAATGTTGACGGCGAGGACTGGCCATATTTTGCACCCTGAGTATCTGCAGCCCCTGCCCTCCACGCCCGTCAGTCCCATCGAGGTAAGGAACCCTTCGTTCCCGGTGGCGATGGGACAACTACCCGGGGTGGCCGCCCCTATGGGGGTTCTATCTCTCCGTCCACTGTGGGTGGAGGTGTGGGGACCGTGGTGATTGAGCTGCTTGAGGGATTGGGGGTTGCTTGTGAGCCTCTAAACTGGGGTGCTGAAAGAACTGGAGGCGGAACCCGGCGTCCGGGTGAATGCTAGGGGACAGGGCAGCCCAAACTTGCTTCTGCTTCTGGTATTAAAAACCAAGACCCCAACTCCGGCCCCTCGGCTCCAAGGCGAGAGGGGCGTCTGGAATCCGGCTACCCTGGAGCTGGCAGCTGCACAGCCTGGGAGGCTCTAGCCACCTCTGCCCCCTTACTCTGAGGATATGCGGGAACATGGGGTGCGGTTCTGGATCTAAATGCGAACACTGGGACCTTGCACAGATTTTGGGGCGAGAGGGGATCCAGTTTGTCGTAGTAGAATACTAGAGGGCTTCCAGCAGGAGATGGGGGTCCGCTGCCTTTCCCGAGGGCAAGGGTGGTGGTGAATAGCTGGCGGGGTAGGGGCTAGTACTGTGCCCCTTCGCTGGTGCCGGTGCCGCAGAAGCAGAGGGGCCTTTGAACTCTAGAAACCAGGATTCTAAAGGTTTCCCCTTTCTTCTCTGTGTGACACCCCCCCCCCCGTCTGTACCCACAGCTGGATGCCAAGAAGAGCCCGCTGGCGCTGTTGGCACAAACCTGCTCGCAGATCGGCAAGCCCGACCCCTCGCCCTCGTCCAAACTCTCTTCGGTCACCGCCAATGGGGGCGCGGGTGGTGCCGGCGGCGGTGGCGCTGGGGGCGACAAGGATGCCAAGTCAGGCCCCCTGAAGCTGAGCGACATCGGTGTGGAGGACAAGTCGAGTTTCAAGCCGTACTCCAAACCAGGCTCGGATAAGAAGGAGCCGGGAGGTGGAGGTGGAGGCGGCGGCGGCGGAGGTGGCGGCGGGGGTGTTTCAACAGAGAAGTCAGGATTCCGGGTACCGAGCGCCACCTGCCAGCCATTCACACCCAGGACAGGCAGCCCAAGCTCCAGCGCCTCGGCCTGCTCGCCAGGAGGCATGCTGCCCTCGGCCGGGGGCGGCCCGGAGGGCAAAGACGATAAAAAAGACCCGGACGCAAGCGGTGGCAGCGGCAAGGGCGCTGGGGGCGCCTCGGCCGAAGGAGGATCCACGGGGCTGGCGCACGGCCGGATTAGCTGCGGCAGCGCCGGGATGAATGTGGACGTGAACCAGCACGCAGATGGGGGCCCTGGGGGAAAGGCTCTGGGTGCGGACTGCAGCGGCTCCTCGGGCTCCAGCTCCGGCTCCGGACCCAGTGCGCCCGCCTCCTCCTCGGTGCTGGGCTCAGGGCTGGTGGCACCGGTGTCACCCTACAAACCGGGTCAGACAGTGTTCCCTCTGCCTCCGGCCGGCATGACCTACCCTGGTAGTCTGGCCGGGGCCTACGCCGGCTACCCACCTCAGTTCCTGCCGCACGGCGTGGCGCTGGACCCCACCAAACCCGGCAGCTTGGTGGGCGCGCAGCTAGCAGCCGCCGCAGCCGGCTCTCTGGGCTGCAGCAAGCCAGCCGGCTCAAGCCCCTTGGCCGGAGCATCGCCGCCGTCCGTGATGACGGCCAGCTTGTGCCGGGACCCTTACTGCCTCAGCTACCATTGTGCCAGCCACCTGGCTGGAGCAGCGGCCGCCAGCGCCTCGTGCGCGCATGACCCTGCCGCGGCCGCAGCGGCGCTAAAATCCGGATACCCACTGGTGTACCCAACGCACCCACTGCACGGTGTGCACTCCTCGCTTACGGCCGCCGCTGCTGCAGGCGCCACGCCGCCCTCACTGGCTGGCCACCCCCTCTACCCCTATGGCTTCATGCTCCCCAACGACCCTCTCCCGCACATCTGCAACTGGGTGTCAGCCAACGGGCCGTGCGACAAGCGCTTCGCCACGTCCGAAGAGCTGCTGAGCCACTTGCGGACCCATACGGCCTTCCCGGGGACAGACAAACTACTGTCGGGTTACCCCAGCTCGTCGTCTCTGGCCAGCGCCGCCGCGGCCGCCATGGCTTGCCACATGCACATCCCCACGTCAGGTGCTCCGGGCAGCCCTGGGACGCTGGCTCTGCGCAGCCCCCACCACGCGCTGGGACTCAGCAGCCGCTACCACCCCTACTCCAAGAGCCCGCTCCCCACGCCTGGTGCCCCCGTGCCGGTGCCGGCTGCCACCGGACCCTACTACTCCCCCTATGCCCTCTATGGACAGAGACTGACCACTGCCTCGGCGCTGGGGTACCAGTGAGGGCGGCTGGGAGGGCCAGCAAGGGAGAGGACGCTCCCGGGGGAGGGGAGCGCGGAGGGTGGGGCGCGATCAAGGCCGAAGCTGTCGACCCCCTGAGCGCTCTTGTGCCTGCAAGTGAGCAAGCAGGCAAGCCAGCCAGCCAGCAAGCAGCGTGTGAGGCCGCCCAGGCCCCAAGAGGGAACCCCGCATACCGTATCTATCTACCCAACTATGGCGAGTCTCACTGGGAAACTCCTCTTCCCCCGCCTCCCCACTCAAACTTTATAAAAGTTGGGAAGAAAAATCATTTGACTTTTTATAGAAAAGGAAGGAAAAATTAATTGCGGAAGTGTTCATCTGAGAACGTCACCGGTGGACACTGGTATTTATTTATGTTAGCTCCAAGCGGACCCGTGATTCAAAAGTGCATTATTTAGTTTGAATTGTGTAGGTTAAAAGAGAAAAAGAAAAAAAAGGAAAAAAGGAGGGGGTAATTAAAACTTGAGGGTAAAAATATGGAAAGCCACCCTCCCATCCCTTTGTAGATTATAAATAAAAACAAAACCGCCACAGAGCTACAGGCTTCTCCTTACTGTTACTTTAAAATTGCTATGATTGTATCGTACGTTCTTATTTAATGTCTGATTGAAACACAAATTTACATGCATGTTTGTTACCAAAAAAAAAAAAGAAAAAAAACTAAAGTCACAATTTGTCAGCTCTGATTTCAAATTGCAATTATTTTTAAGGTGTATGCCATCGAAAGAGAATGGGTATTTTTTGGTATGTATTCTGAAAGAAAACAAAAAAAAAAAAAAGGAAAAAAACAATTCTATTCCAAAACCTCATTTGCCTTATTTTGTTCTTGAAAAAAGGAACACTTAACTATTTTTAATTTTTAAGTCCACCCCCTGAGAAGGGCGCAAGGTTTACGTCATGTACTAAAATAATAGACAATGTATCGCTTTAAAGATTAAAATTCCGTATATTTGATGTATTAAAAGGTTTTCCTTCTTATCTTTTTATTTATCTTCCTTTTTCCTTTCTTTTCTTTTCTGATTATATCTTCCCTTGGTTAAGAACACAGCAGCTCTGGTCTCCAGGCGCCCGGCCGAATTTCCAACTGCTTTGTTGTGATTTTCTGCAACAGCCTGAGGCTTCAGACGCGTTGGCTAGCAGCAAGGGGAAGAGTTTACAGACCTTTTGGAAAGACACCACCGGTAGCTCTTGCCCATTCTGATTTTATCTAAGTTTTTTCTAAGCAGCTCGTTTGTCAAAAGTGAAAGGGAATGGGGAGGGGAGTGCGTTTTTTGTTTTGTTTTTGTTGTTGTTAAATTTCCCTCTGTGTTTTTGGAAGTTTGAGTTTCGTTTTGCACAGCGTGCGGAGCAGGCCGGGACTTGCCGGCCGCGCCCGGATGCCGGGGACGGGGACGTGCAACCGTCCTTGGTCCCTGTCCTCGCTTCGCAGGCAGCGCCAGCTCCGGGCGGGCGGTAGCGCAAGGCCCGGGATGGGCCGGGAACCAAGGGTCGCTCGGAGAACCTGTCTCCTGGAGAGCGAGCGGAGCCGCCGTGGCCCTTGGGGAAAGTGCTCTCTCTGCCCCCCTCGGTGCTGCCGAGGGCCGCCGAACACCACCACCGCCCGGCCGCAACGAGCTGGCGGCCGGCTCGCGCTCGGCTGCTTTTCCCGTTCTTGCGGCTCTGCACTTCGCTCTCCGTTCCAGTCGGCGCTTCAAGAGCGCACGCCAGGACAAGGGGTGAGGAAGCCCCTTCCAACTCGTGGGTCCTGGCGCTCAACACCCCGCGGCGGCCCCCAGCTTTGCCTCACGGAGTGACCTAGTGGTCGTCCTGGGTGGTGCTGAGTCGGGAGCTCTGCTCGACCAAGGCGCGGTGGGAGCCTGAACCCGGGAGCAGAGCGGCGCAGAGGCGCGCGTCACTCCCTCCTCTCCAACTTGGGCGTGGTGACACGGCGGCCAGAAGCACCGCTGGAAGTGCGCAGACACAACCGAAGTACTCTAGGGGTTGGGAGTCCAGACACCCAGTTCCCGTCACACTCGCCCTAAGTTTGCACTTGAACCCAGGGTGCCCTTAGTGGTATTTCAGGGCCGTGCCTTCGCGGCGCTGGGAGCGCACCCCACACTCCCCTCCAACCTGGGGTCAGATCGTTCTGGGTTGTCCGAAGCTCGGGCCCGGGCTCAAAGAACGAAGGGGCCGGTGACCTGGAGCTTTTCCGCCCCTTGTCCAGCACTAGCGGCTGCCGGGCCTTTTCCCGGGTGGCACGCACAACAAACCCCGCCACCTCCCGGACGCTTGAGGAGATCCCTGGGCGCCGCCACCCAGTGCGTACTTCCTGGAGCCTGGAGCCCAGCCTCCGCCGCCTCCTTGGAGAGAGCAGCCTGCTGCGCCCCCGGCCCTGACGCCGGCCGGATCCAGACCCCGGAAACCGGAGCTGGAGCGCGAGGCCTCCGACCTCAGGGACCCAGGATACCACAGTCCGGATCCCTGTCTGAGAGGATGGGCTGGGCACGACGGGGCAGCTACTCCTCCCACCTCCACCCCAGGCGGGAGAGGATAATGGCCGCCGAAGTGGCCCAGCCCGAGACCCCTACGCCAGGCTGCGATTGCTACCCCGGCCGCACGAGCTTCTTCCTCCTCCTGGCCAGGGTCCCTGGGTGCCCACGTCTCTCCAGCCAGGACTGAGGCAGCCTCACGCCCTCGAAGCTTGGGATCGGCAGGCGGACGTAAGGACCGGCGACGTTCGCGCCTTGATGCCCACTTTTAGTAATTTAGGGAGGAAATAACCAACGCCAAACCCCCTAATGTTTTGATGAGACCCTCTCCGCCAAGAAGCTGCGCAAAGGCAGCGAAATTCCAGCGCTGCTGGCTAGGCGACTGAGGGCCAAAGGCGAATCCCCGACGTGCTGGACGGAGCCCGGTCACTCCTGGCGCAAGGCTGGGCACGGGCGGACACCGGCCTGGGTGGCGCGTCCTGGCCGAGGTGCTAGTCTCCTCGGCGGGAAGAAGGCGCTCAGTGCTTCCACCCCGAGCCGCCGCCGGATTCCCCGCGCCGAGCACCGCGTGTCCGCCAGGCGGCGCTGCGGAACTCGGCGGAGCGGGACGGAGGCCGCGAGCCCAGGCCCCAGCACAGGCCCGCCGGCTGGGGTTGCACACCCAGCCGCCGCATCCCTGCAGCATGGCCACTCCCTGCAAACCATCTCCCCTGTTCTCCAGCGGCTCCGGCTGCGCCTGCCCTCCACCCCTCGCCTCCCAGAGAAGCTGGTCCGGGCATCACGGGCCCCTTCTCATCAAGCCGCCAAGTCTGACACACTGCAGTGGTCCCCACACAGCCATGCATGTTTTCATTCTCTCCCTTACGGATGATTTCCTAAGCGCCTGCCTCTTGCCCTCCTTCCAGCTCACCCTTGACACAGATGGAGATGCCGAGGCTGGGTGCCAAGCTCCTGTGAATTGGGACGTTGGTGCCCCAGTTCGAGCCCAGGCTGCTTCACTCCCAATCCCATCTTCCTACTAACATGTTTAGGAAGGTAGTGAGGATGGCCCAAGTGATTGGACCTTGGCATCCAAGTGGGGGTCTGGCCTACACCTGGCCATTGTGGCCATTTGAGCAGTGAGTCAGTGGATGCAAGGCCTCTTGGAGTCTCCTTTCTCTGTAACTCACCCTTTCAAATAAATTAAATAAATCTTTAGAAACAAAGAGAAACTGAAGTTGTCTTGAAAGCCAGGGGCAGATAAGGCCCAGGCACTTCCCTCCAACTGTCCCTCCCTGGGGACAGTGTCTGAGCTCATGTTCCAATGCTGGGGGACTCTGAACAAATGCCCCTAGGGAGCTGAGCCTCACAGATGGCTGCCCATCTCTGACAAGCCTGGGGACCCCAGGTGTGCACAACCAGCAAGGACGCAGGTCGCTGCCATCACACAGCCTTCCCCTCTGTGCTCGGGTGTGCCTGGTCCACCTGCTCATACTGAGGCACCCTGGGTATGTGGTACACATGAAGCCAGTGCACTGACGGGCAGGGGAAAGGTGGCAGTCAGATCTTGAGCAGAGAGGCGAGGGCAAGCAGAAACATAACCCTCTTGAACCCAGGAAAAATAAAAGTGGCCCAGAAGAATGGGGCCTGGCCCCTGCTGCACACTGTGGCTTAGGACTCATCACCCCCTGGAGCCAGGGTCCTGGCAGAGTTCAAGCTGGTATAAAGCACACTGACCCCCCATCTGTGATGGCCTCGGTCCAGCCCAGCTGTCCTAGTGTGCCCCCTTTGAAACTTCACAAGCACTCCATGATGGTGCAGGAGTCTTCATCCCATTTCTCAGTGGAGGAGACTGAGGCTTGGCAGAGGAAGAACTCTGGCCTTAGGTCTCATGGCTAGGGAGTGATGGGAAGAGCTGCAGGAGTTCTTTAGGAACAGTGCATGGGGGCTTGGCCCCCAAGATGCTGGCCCAGTTGTCCAGGGACTGGTGGGCCGAGTTGGGCTTCTTACCTGAATCTTCCATAGAATGACTGGGGTAATGACGCTTTTAAAATGCATTTTATTTGAAGAGAGAGGGACTGAGGCAAGCAGAGACAGAGATCTTAATCCGCAGGTTCACTCCCAATTGGTCACACTGGCCAGAGCTGGGCTGATCCAAAGCTGGGAGCCAGGAGTTTCTTCCAAGTCTCCCACACATGTGCAGAGCCCCAAAGCTTTGAGCCACCCTCTGCTGCTTCTATAGGTGCATTAACAGGGAGATGGGTTAGAAGCAAAGCAACCTAGATTGGAACCAGGACCCATAGCAGATGCTGTCATTGCCTGACCATGTCAGCCCCAGACAAGGAGGGCTTTTACCGCCAAAAGGTAAAGAGAATAAAGTAATGGACCCCATAAACCTGGCCTCAATTACTGTCAGCCCACAGGCCAGCTCACTGCCCGCCAGCCGCTTCCAACCTGCTGCCCTCCCCCCGCCCCATCTCATCATGTTGATATCAGTAAGGACACCTCATCGTTCCACCTCCCACTTGCGTGTATCTGCCCCTCCCCACCCGGGCTGGCATTCCGGGCCCTGGCTCGGTCCACTGCCCCACTTCCGCGGAGGTGAGGAATGTGGTTGTAGCTTGCAGA